GAAAGAAAGAAAGAAAGAAAGAAAGAAAGAAAGAAAGAAAGAAAGAAAGAAAGAAAGAAAGAAAGAAAGAAAGAAAGAAAGAAAGAAAGAAAGAGAAAAAGAAGAAAAAGAAAAAGAAAACAGGAACCACCGTGGAACCAGCTTGAAAACAGGAACTTGGAACAGAGAGTCACTGCTTGAAACCCCCAGACCTAATATGTATGATTAACTGTCCCTAGGTTTGGGAGGGGTGGTTATATGCACAGTAGACCTGAGCAGTAGCTGCCACTTCCTGCCTGACATTAGTGCTCCCTCTGCTTGTGGCACCAGGGCCTATCTAGTCCCAGGCCTCATCTTGTCAGCTCAGAGGGCCCATTCCCTACCCCAGGGCTTTTCCTCCTTCCTTCTCACTGACCATTCCCTGCCCTCAGATCCTCTCACCTCAGCTCATGCACTCTGCCTTTCTTCCCAGCCCCGCCAAACCTCCCAGGAGGTCTTCTGATGCTCTCTGCCCCTCATCCACCTGTCAGTGCCTTCCCTGTCATGCTTCCCTTGGCCAAGGCCCATCCTACTGCCTCTGGGCCCCTTAATAGTGGCATACACTCCAACTCTGGGGCCTGGCTCTGCCCTGTTGTATGATAAGAGAACCAAATGTACCGGAAGCTGCAGGACTCCAGGAACTGCCATTCATTATTCTGTGCCTCCTCTACAGCCTGGAAGCTGGCTTGCTTCACCGGTGATTCATGGCCCTGCATCTGTGCCAGGAGGCAGCCTCCACCCTCCTATCAAGAGGCCAGCAGGGCTCCAAGGGGAGGACATTTCTAGGCAAATCACCCCCAGTCCCATGCTCCCAGCTCATCTGGAAGTCAGCTCTCTGAAGCTGCCACACAGTTCACCTTCCCTCCCTCCCCACTGCACACACCTGCTCAGGCTTAGCTGCCCCACCCACCCCATGCCTCAGCCAGGGCTTGAGAGACCCTTCCCTCGTCAACTCCCTCCACACCAGCTTCACAACACATCTTCCTCTCAGTCTCTCATCTGAGACCTGTGCCCCAACCATGCTCCAGGTGCTGGGAAGGGAGGGGCAGTGAACCAGACAGATGGGATCCCTGCTGCTAAGGTATTTTTTATATTCCAGTGGAGGTAGAGGGCAATCAAAACTTAATTCATAAGACAAAACAATTTAGATAGTGATAGGTGCTTCAGAGAACTTCAGATAGACTGCAGAAAGAGTAGCTGGGTGTTTGAGGAAGCCATCTCTGAGGTCTTTTATCCTAAACCCCAGGGATAGTAGGAAAGGGACAGTCATGTACAGAGCTGGGAGAACCACATTCCAGGCAGAAGGAACATTAAGTTCAAAATCCTTGAAGCATGAAGATGCTTGGCAAATTCAAGGTACAGGAAGTGGGCTAATATGGTCAGAGCACGGTGAGTGAGAGTGGTGGGGAGTGAGGTCAGGGTTGGGCGGGGCCTTATGAGCCACAGTAAGGGTTTCTGCTGGCTGCTGTCCCCCCACCCCCACCCCGCGTTTCACAACTGTGAGCTCCCAGGTATAGTATCTTGCACTCAGAGCTGGGTTCAAGGAGAGTACTCAGTACCAATGTGGTAACAAACGGTGGTTTTCTGGCCGGCCAGATTCCTTCCACAGGCTCTATGCCCAGCTAGGACGCGTCTCCTCCCTTTGGCCTGAGCCAGACCCAGCCAAGAACATTCTGTCCTGGAGATCTTACAAGTGAGCCTGAGAGATTTCAGCTGTACCAGCCTCAGCTCTGGGGAGACTGGGGGAGGGAATGGGGGACCAGAGGCAGGGCTCATACCACAAGTGCCCACACACCTGGTTCTTGATGTTGTCGATCTCAGCCTGCAGCCTCTGGATGGCCCGGTTCATCTCTGCAATCTCATTCCGGGTATTCCGGAGGTCATCTCCATGCTTCCCAGCCTGGGCCTGGAGGGTCTCAAACTGGAGGGGCCATACAGAGAAGTATGGCAGGGGGTGGGCAATGATTATGGGTGATTCATCCCTCTTCCCACCCAAGGAAGGCCTACGGTTGTGGGAGACAAGCCCCAAGATGGGACAGTATGACTCCCAGCAACCCTCGCCCAATGCCAAGAGACCAGACATTAGGCAATGGGGTGGGGCAGGGACTCATTGTCCTCCCAGCCAGGTCAGGGAGGACAAGGATGTCTCCCGGGGCCTATTCCCATTGATTCCAAGCCTTTTCTCATTCCCATAATGCCCTAGTGCTGGAGAATCACTGGAAGTCTGAGACCCTCGCCTGAGAGCCCCTCCTCAACACCACTCATTTCTCAGATGAGGAGAAAGAGTCCCAGGGAATGAAGGCACTGCCCAAGGACCACAGAGCAAGTCTGAGGCCAGGTCTGTGTTCTTACCTGTGTACCATGGACGACTCCATACCTCTGCAGAGACAGCCCTCTATGCTGCTTCAAACCCTGTCTCAGGCTCCCTCCCCCACACCCCCACCCATTCCCTCAGCAAGTGCACAGTCATCTGCCCTGCCTCCACGTGGTTCCTGGTCTGCAGCCCTAGGATCCAAGATCTAGTCCCTTTTCTTCCATCTACTAGCTGTGTGGAGGTAGGTAAATTATTTAACCTCTCTGTGCCTCAGTTTCCTCATCTGTAAAATGAGGATAACAATAATGCCTACCTAATAGGGCTGTTCTGTGCGTTAAATAAGACAATACAGGTTAACGTCTGAAACACTGCCTGGCACTATGAAAACTTACCAAATTTTGGCTATTATAATTATTAACCCACGTCCACTTCCTCTGCCCTGCTCCCCCATCAGGGCAGGGCCCTGGCCTTCACATCCTCTTTTTTCCAGGACACTGGGGAGCACCACAGACTTAACTACTGGTGCCTGCCAGAACAATGGGACCCAGGCCCTAAAGGCTTGAGACAGGGAGAGCAGAAAGAAAAGCTGCCATCAAGAACCCTGCAGGAGGAGGAAATGCGTCCCTACGGGCCTCACACCTTAGTCTGGTACCAGGCCTCGGCCTCGGCCCGGCTGCGGTTGGCCATCTCCTCGTACTGGGCCTTGACCTCGGCGATGATGCCATCCAGGTCCAGGGAGCGGCTGTTGTCCATGGACAGTACCACGGATGTGTCGGAGATCTGGTCCTGCAGCTCTGACAACTCCTATAGGGACCAAACGGAACATCAGGACTCAGGGTACGACCTGCCCTTGTTCTTACACCCAGCCTGGGA